AAAAATGTATTCTTCTTTTTAAAAAAGAATACAAAAATGTATATATTTTTAAAAAGTGGGCATAGGACTTTAATCAACATTTCTCCAAAGATAATGTATACAAATGATTAAGCATATGAAAAGATGCTTAATCTCATTACTCATTAAGAAAATGTAAATCAAATCCACAATAATACATTACCTCATACCAATTAGAATAGTTACTAAACACACACACACACACACACACACACACACACACACACACAGAGAGAGAGAGAGCAAATTAGAACCCTATTCACTGTTGGTAGCAATTAAAATGGTATATTAGCTATGAAAAACAGTATGGAGGTTTCTCAAAAAACAAAAAATAAAATTACCATATGATCCAGCAATTTCACTTCTGGGTGTCTAAAGGAATTGAAAGTAGGATATCAGGAGATATTTTCACACTCATGTTCCTAACAAAGCTATTTAAATCTCTGTTAAGTAGGCACTGCTAGGTTTGGTATCAGATAATCCTCACATTTCAGCAATGTAACACACTAAAATACTGTATTTTTGCTCATGCAATAGTCCACATGGTTGCTGCTGGTTGTCGGTAGGGTAGGATTTTGACGGATTCAGTCTCATGGAGCTCCACATCTTCCATATGTAATTATTAAGGTCCCACAGAACATTGACATCCAGTTGGGATGGGAGAAAAGGGGGTGGAGAAAACAGGCTCATTCTTAATGATCTCAGCTTAAACATACTTTATTTCTTTGGTGAGAGCTGTCTACATACTTCTTCCAACAGCAAAGGAAGTATCAAGATGGGGGATGAGGGTTGCTGGGGTCATCAGAGTGAAGTGAAATAACACTGTCCAATGTACCAAGGTGAAGAAGATGGGTAGAAGGTGAATGGTCTGGATTACCATTTTCTCTGAGCATCTTCTTACTCTCAGGCATAGGACCTGTAAACTCTCATTCACTCTCTGTCATTGGGATCAACTTACAGGTGAGTAAAATAGATTCCTGTATTAGAGAGTTTGGAGAAAGTACACAACATGCATCACAACACCATGAAATAATAATTGCTGGGCCTAAGGGTAGCTAGGAAGTTGTGCTAAAGCTTATCAGCTTTTCTACAAAATCATTGAATCTGTCTTTGATTGCAAAAGTACATTCAGAGAAAAGAAAAGTAAAAATAACAATGTCTTTTTCTTCTATCACTATAACTAGAAAATTGCTCTTATATTATCAAATTAGATACTGTTCCTCAATCGAATAAGGGATGACCACAAAAGAACACTTTTGAACGTTGAACCTGGATGAGATTTTTAAAAAGGCAAGCAGAAGGTGCCTCTGGATAGGATTCTGATAAGTAAAATCATCAAAGCAGGCTCACCGCAAGTATCATGTACTCTATAACCCACAGTTATTATATCCAGAGCCCTGACAATGCAGCACTGCGTATAACAACTCAGTTGAAACCACAGCTGCAAGACAAAATACTTTAAAAGAGCATCCAGATATTTATAAACCCAATAAAGGTGTCCAGAGAATAAAAGTCATTACTAAATAGATCTGAAAGCATCAGTTCTGGTTTTCAATCTGTTTCATTTCTTGTCATTGCATGAAATCCCTACTCCCAACACACCCTTGAAGGGTAAGATTCTTCCCAACCTCTGCTCTTATTGCTTGGCACACAGGCATTCATAAGTTTCTGTTGGCTAAATACCTAGGAATGGAATTCCATCTAGGGGTGCAATGTCTGGATCCTAGGATTTGTTGACATTTAGTAACTAACACCAAGCCATTTTTAAATCGATTGTATAAATTTACTTTTTCATTAACAGTATATGCAAATTTTGATATTTACACGTTATGATTAATACCTGTTTCTGTATGCTTTTAGAACTTAGTCATTGTCTCTACGTTTTCTAGTTTGTGACAGTATAGTTGTTCATGGTAGCCTCTGATTATCTTTTGCAATTTTGCGATATCAATTGTAATGTTTTTCCACTTTTTTAAAAATTAAATTTTGGAATACATGTGCAGAACATGCAGGTTTGTTACAGAGATATACATGTGCCATGGTGATTTGCTGCACCCATCAACCTGTCATCTAGGTTTTAAGCCCTGCATGCATTAGGCATTTGTCCTAGTGCTCTCTCGCCCCTTGTCCCCCACCTTCCATCAGGCCCTGCTGTGTGATGTATCCCTGCCTCTGTCCATGTGTTCCCATTATTCAAGTCCCACTTATGAATGAGAACACGCAGTGTTAGTTTTCTGTTTCTTTGTTAGTTTACCGAAATTAATGGTTTCCAGCTTCATCCATGTCCCTGCAAAGGACATGAACTCATTCTTTTTTATGACTGTGTAGTATTCCATGGTGTATATATGCCAGATTTTTTCTCCAGTCTATCAATGATGGGAGATTTTGCTATTGTGAATAGTACTGCAATAAATATATGTGTGCATGTGTCTTTATAGAAGAATGATTTATAATCCTTTGGGTATACACCCAGTAATGGGATTACTGGGTCAAATGGAATTACTGTTTCCAGATCCTTGAGATAATTCGTGATTTGGCTCTCTACATGCCTACCGTGGGTTTACAGGAATGCTTGTGATTTTTGCACATTGATTTTTTTGTCTTGAGACTTTGCTGAAGTTGATTATCAGCTTAAGGAGTTTTTGGGCTGAGAAGATGGTGTTTTCTAAACAGAATCATGTCATCTTTAAATAGAGACAATTTGAATTTCTCTCTTCCTATTTGAATATGCTTTATTTCTTTCTCTTGCCTAATTTCCCTGGCCAGAATTTCCAATACTATGTTGAATAGGAGTGATGAGAGGGGGCATCCTTGTCTTGTGCCAGTTTTCAAAGGGAATGATTCCAGCTTTTGGCCATTCAGTATAGTATTGGCTATGGGTTTGTCACAAATAGCTCTAATTATTTGGAGATATATTCCATCAATACCCAGCTTATTGATAGTTTTTAACATGAAGGGATGTTGAATTTTATCGAAGACCTTTTCTGCATCTATTAAGATCATCATGTGGTTTTTGTCATTGGTTCTGTTTATGTGATGGATTATGTTTATTGATTTGTGCATGTTGAACCAGCCTTGCATTTCAGGGATGAAGCTGACGATTGTGGTGGATAAGCTTTTTGATATGCTCCTGGATTCAGTTGGACAGGATTTTATTGAGGATTTTTGCATTGATGTTCATCAGGGATAATGGTCTGAAATTTTTTGTTTGTTTGTTTTGTCTCTGCCAGGTTTTGGTATCAAGATGATGCTGGCCTCATAAAATGAGTTAGGGAGGAGTCCTTCTTTTTCAATAGTTTGGTATAGTTTCAGAAAAAGTCATACCAACTCTTCTTTGTACCTCTGGTAGAATTCAACTGTGAATCTACCTGGTCCTGGGCTTTTTTTGTTGGTAAGCTATTAATTACTGCCTCAATTTCAGAGCTTGTCATTGGTTTATTCAGAGATTCAACATTGTCCTGCCTTTGTCTTGGGAAAGTGTATGTGTCCAGGAATTTATCCATTTCTTCTAGGTTTTCTAATTTATTTATGTAGAGTTGTTTATAGTATTCTTTGATGGTAGTTTGTATTTCTGTGGGATCAGCAGTGATATCCTATTTATTATGTTTTATTTTGTCTATTTGATTCATCTCTCTGTTCTTATTAGTCTAGCTATTATTCTATCTATTTTGTTATTTTTTTCAAAAAAATAGCTCCTGGATTCATTGATTTTTCTGAAGGGTTTTTCATGTCTCTGTCTCCTTCAGTTCTGCTCTGATTGTAGTTATTTCCTGTCTTCTGCTAGCTTTTGAATTTGCTTGCTTTTTCTTCTCTAGTTCTTTTAATTGTGATGTTAGGATGTCAGTTTGAGATATTTCCACCTTTCTGATGTGGGCATTTAGTACTATAAAGTTCCCTCTTAACACTGCTTTAACTCTGTCCCAGAAATTCTGATACATTATGTCTGTGTTCTCATTGGTTTCAAAGAACTTGATTTCTGCCTTAATTTCATTATTTACCCAGGAGTCATTTGGGAGCAGGTTGTTCAATTTCCATGTAATTGTGAGGTTTTGAGTGAATTTCTTAATCATGAGTTCTAATTTGATTGCAATGTGGTCTGAATATTTTTTCTATTCTGTACCTTAGTCTTGTTTCTTAATTGTTTCTATTGTGGGTGTGTGTCTGTGTGTAAGCTTTTGAATGTTGCACAATGAATCTGTCATTTTTCCCCTTCATTCCTTCTGAACATTCTATTCTATTTTGAAAAATACTTCCCAATCCAAAGTCAAAAAATATTATTTTCTAATTTACTCTAGAACTCTAGAAAATTTACTTCTTAACATTTAAATCTTTATTTCATGTGGGATTGACTTTTTGGTGTAAAAATATAGTATATTTCAAATGAGAAGCTGATTATTCCAGAACGAATTTTTCAATATGTAATAATTTACTCGTTAATTTAGAAATGCCTCACTTATTATGCACACTTGAATCATTTTGTACATAGATTATTTTTCCTGTGCTAAGAATCTGGAGTACAAAAATCTCCAACTCGCACTTGGAAAAAAAATTATTCGTTACTTTAATGGATTAACGTGCATTTAATTTAGAATCAGTTTTTCCAGTTTAACACATTATTTATTTAGGTAATGACATTTTGTGAACAATTGCTCATTCATGGAAGAAGAGCTGATGTCTGTGTGACATTGTGGTCCCTGGGGGCATTTTTTATGATCTCTTTGAAATATGACAGTTTTAGTGTATGTATCTGTGCCTGTTTTGTTGCCAAATATTTGCTCCCAAGAATTTTATATTTTTATGGTTAAAGCTGTGTCTTTATATCTATTTCTAAATGGTTATACATTCTGTATATAAAGAAAAGTTATTGCTTTATCTGTTTGTCTTGTATTCAATCACTTTATTAAAGGTGTTGCTATTATTATGTTTCCATTTATTTCCCTTACATTTTTTACTTAAATACTCCTTTTCAGCATTCATAGCTTTATAAATACTTTTTTAAAGTTTTATTAAATTTGACATTATTATTAAACAGTATCATCCAATCCTCCTGCCATTCCATTCTAATCCTCTTCCTCTGGACCATGCTGCCTTCTGCAAGGGAGTGGAATCCTGGCCTCATATTTTTCTTATTACTATAATCCATGGGGATTTGTTGCATGTAGAAATTATTTTATAGATATAATAAATTTTATTATTTGAGCAATGTTTTTCTGTTTAGAAAAAAAGAGAGTAACTTTTGCTTACTTTAAATTCAATCAAACTGAGAAAGAGACAAAGAGAGAGAAGAAAGAAAGATTGATTTACTCAAACCCAGCATTAGAAACATCTTACTCACCCCAGGCCTACAGAATCAAATTCTCAAGGCTGGAGGCCCAGCATCTGCACTTGTAACCAGGTTTCCAGGTAATTCTGGTACACAGTGAAGCTGAAAATTCCTTCTCTAAACCCACGAGAACAACCGCAATTTTTAATAGTTATATAATGATGTCAGTTTTCAGTAAATGTAAGAAGCAAGTGTGTTACCCATGATACTTTAGAGAATTGTATATGACACTTGTGCAATTGTAAGATTCACTTACAAAAATGGACTCTAACTAAACTTCAAGAGACTATGATCTGACAGTAGTGTGGAAAGAAGAACAAGATCAGGAAAGCCGAAAGAGGGAGCAAAGGCAAAGCAGGAAAGAGGAGAGGCAGGGTGGTGAAAAGAATGGTTAGAAAGAGAGAGGACGTATGTGTAACACAGCTAACCTGTGCAGATGGCGTACTATCTTCTCTCAGATTTCCTTGTGCGGGCCACCACAATAAGGGACAGACCGCAGGCTTACTTTCATCTTCTGTTTTCAAGCTCACAAAGGCTCTCTAAGTTTCCCCACATTTTAAATTTTTAAATTATAATCCAACAATTATCAGCCTGATATAAACAGGAATGAGTATATATTCTCAGGCATTAATTTGTAGTGTATGCAGAAGTGCATAATAAACAATAGATCCCCCTATCCACAATTTTACTTTCTGAAGTTTCTGTTACCTGTGGTATGATATGATAATTTGAGAGAGAGACCATGTTCACATAACTTTTATTACAGGATATTGTTGTAATTGTTCTTTTTATTTTGGTTATTGTTGATAATCTTTCACTGTGCTGAATTTATAGATTAAACTTTATCATGGGTATGTTTATATAGGAAAAAATGTAATATATGTAGGGTTCAGTACTATTCGTGGTATCAGGCTTCTACTAGAGAACTCCTGCACATTAATAGGGTGCCATTATCTCCTTGAGCACAGAAATCAGGCTCCTTAGAGTGCTGAGATAAATTGGCAAGCATTTGCTTCTGTAGCTGACTTTGCACCAGTTCCAAACTATGCCGAGACCCTGATAAAGAATTCTTAATGTCTGTTGAAAGGGCCTGATGAGCTGGATAGAGCGACTCAGAGCAAATCAAATTGGAAAAATAGCAAAAACAAAACAAAACAAAACCCTCTATATCCAGAATCATCATCAAGTTGGCTAATAAAAAGAAAACTAAGTGTAGTACTGATGAACACTGCAAAGAGAGATTTGAGGGAAGCCACACTGTTCTCTTAATAAAACAGCAATAACTTATGACATGGTGGCAAAACATTTTTAAAAAATTAAATCTACTGATTTTTTTCAGTAATACTAATAGAATAAAAATTATACAGCCTCTAATGGTGATTTAGCAGTTTTATGAAAAGTTACAGATAAAATAATTCTAAAATAGAAGTGAGGAGGGGATCACTAAATTCAGTCTTCTTCCCAGCTGGGATCCAGGATAAGGAGGAACTGGATTAGCAAGCAAATAGCAACCTCATCATTAGAGCTTGTTTCGTAGTCTCCACAAGCCTGTAAATAAGTCCTGGAACAGAAGAAAAAATTCTGAAGAGAGAAGCATGATATACTTCATTATTTAATGAAGAGAAGATCCTCTTTCTTCATGTCTTTGGGGAAAAAATGACATATAATTTAATGTTCACCATTCCCTAAATCAGAGTTTTTAGTGCGATTTTAGTAAGATTCACTTACAAAAATGGATCAACATCAGTATCACCTGGTAATTTCAAAATGTAAATCTCAGCTCTTCTCTGGGCCTATTGAATCATAAACTCAGGGAAATTTCAGCAATCTGTGCTAATAAGCCCCCCCAGGTATTTCTGATGCTCAGGGAAGTTTGAGACCTCCTTCTAAAAGCATGTTTATTTTCCATTTTAAAGCCTTTATGAAGAATGTGTATGATGAAAATTAGAAGTGGAATTAATGCATTTATAATTCATGCTTCCATAGGGTTTCTGTTTCTTGGTTTATTTGGAGCTATAAAGCTAAGGGGTAGACTGACACCTTCCTAATACAAGAATGTTGGTATTTGCACAACGAGGTCCTGAGAGACTTTTTAAGACATTAAAAATTAGTGAGTATGAGAAGTAAGAGGGAGTTGCAGCATTAACCACTGTCTTGTTTTCCAGGATGAAGAGGATCTCCCAGGGCTTTTCTCAGGGGATCAGCCTCTACGTTAAGAAGTGTCACAAGGAGGGGATAATTTTAATCCAACACATAGAAAGCGTCATGAACTCAAAGAGGACTTTAGCCTTTTGGTTGACGTTGTGATTGGCAAGTAGCTCATGGGGTAATCTTTGCCATAGTGACATTGTATATATTCATTTGTGTCTTTCTTACTTATAACTTTTAATTTTTCTCCTTAATTACCTGACTGTTAAAAGTTTGGAATTTCTGGGGGTTTCCTTCTCTTTCTTTCACCTCCCCAATGATATCCAATAAGTATTCCAGTTTATATAAAAATATAAGAATAATATTTGCACTTGGTGAGTGCAATTTAACTTAATATCCTTTTGAAATTGAGATAGATTTCATATACCATCAAATTATCCTCCTAAAGTATATGATTCAGTGGATTTTACTACATTTACAAAGCTGCACAGCCATCACCACTGTCTAATTCTAGACCTAGGAAATGCCATAGTCCTCCCTGCTTCCTGCCTATGAAATGTGTGGCTTGCCCTTAGGGTCCTCATGAGGGAGACTCAGAGAATGGAGAAAATTCAAGTCCATCATGATAGCACCTTGGCTGTGAATTCACAGAACAGGTGAGTAAATCTGAAAAGCACAATAGCATTGGCTAGATGATCACTTGAGTTATATTGTCTTCTTAATTCCTTGGTAGCTGAGCATAGAAATTTCAGTTTCGTTACATAAACTGTAGCATGATTTTTTACTCCTCTTTTGATAGCAATCATCAAAGATTTAGAGAAATGGAAGAAATAATAATCTATGGTTCACAGAAACCAGGATAAAAATTAAAAGGCTCTTAGTTCTCTCTTTTTTCCAGATGTTAGCTATCATATCCCCTAAGGAAATATTAAAAGGCTATCACCTAGGCTGATTACATTTATAAAAGCAATAAGCAATGAAAATAATCCCAATGTGTGCATACATACCAGCTTTGGTGGGTGGGGTAACATAGCGGGGGTAAAACAGCCCTAGAATGCAAATACTAAAATAACCATGGGCGATCAAGCAAAAGGGCCACCAAGAATCAAGGGTGCCTTGGAAAGGGAAGTGTCCTGGGGCACAAGAGCTGGGTCTGCAGGATAAGGAAGGGAGCCCAGCTATCTTTTCCCTCTTCCTGCTGGCTGATTACCCCACATCCCTCTAGAAAGTAGTGCTGCGGGTCCAGGCTTCCATCTGTTTGCATTCAGATCCGTGATCTTGCCAAGTCTTATCTGACCAAATTATTGGCAGCTTTGCATCCTACACAACTGACTGGGGACCTCTTCCCTGAATCCAGATGAAGTGCGCAATTGGAAGAATCCTGCAAAGATAGTAAAACTTCTGAACATTTATTTCCCCAATCCTCCTGGAGGCTATTCAGCCAGATACTGTGCAATACATCCACCTGGGAGGCCACAGCAAAGGACAGATCCATGTCAATAAAACACAGAGAAAGGGAATTTTGATGTCAATATAAGGGAACTTGGAGAGCTGTAAACCAGGGCAGGCTTCACTGTTTAGCTTCTGAGGCATAAGTAAGAGCCATTACTTCAAGTTGCTTGTTCAGTACACTGAGCTACAGGGTCACCCCAGACTTCAAGAAGAGCCAGGACACCCAGCACTAGACTCCTACCCTAAAACTAGGAACTCCAGCCACTGCTGTGTGAGATCTGCCTGAGAAGCGTGTGTCATGTCCTGGGCTTCTCTTGTGCAGAGATTGCAAGACCAGGACCCTCAAATTTGACCAACTCAGAGACCCTGAGGCTGCCCCAGGGATTGGGATCTTACTTCTTCAAAGCAGAAGAGAGTTTCAAATGAGATTAGACCATGACAACAGTGACTATCACTATCTAGATGACAGAAGGTTTAAGGAAAATATTCATTTACTAGTTTTCAAACTTGATGAAAGAGAAAGCATGAATTATAGACTCAGTATTTAAAAACCAAATACATTATTCAGAATCAAATATAAAAGCCAGATGCCACAAATTACTCCCAAATTCACATTTTGAGATATGGTTGATTCAATTTCTGTTTGAGGATGCATTTTCCTATGTGGCTTTTGGTTTAGAAGAGTCTTTTTCAGGTAATCTTTTTCTAAGAACTAACCAAAAGGTATTTGTTATCCAAGAGTTGTCATTACTGTTTCTTCATTTAGGCACTCATTTATTTATTCACAGGTTGCATGCTGTCCGACCTGTCCTGGTTGGTGGGAGGGATGGAGCCTGGCTTCCTGTGTAGAGTGCCCATGGACTGGCTAGTCAGGAGCTTCAGCACCTCTTCCAGGAATTGCAAGCAGAGCCTAACTTTCCTGTGGAGGCTGCTGGGTCTAAATGCCTTCCACCTACTTTTTTCTGTGAATTGACTTCTGTATCCAATATGATTGACATATTTATTATTGACCCTATCTGACAAAAGTCAAGCAATTATGGATCTACATTTTTCTCTCTCAATCTCAGGAGCCAATATATTCAGTGTGAAAGCTCAATTTTCATTTGGAAGAAAAAATATTGGCTAAAGAAAATTTTTTTCCTAAGTCTAAATTTTTAAAAACTTTTTTAACCTACAAGGAATATGTTGTGTTATGATTGATATATATGTTTTTGTCCTTAGTCCCTAGCGCATAACTCCCCTAGCTCTTGTTAAAATCTTTTGTCATAATATTGGGTGTGTTAGTTCACAGAAGCAGGCCCCGGGGAACTGAATGTCTCTACTGCCCTCTTTCTCCTACCCCAACTCAGGACTCTAATCTTCTCTCACCTATCTAATTAGGGATCTTAGGAAATTCCCCTGAGAGGGTTCCACCCTGTACCCTATACTGGGGGAAGGAATGCTGATATCACAAATCTTCCATGAACACCCAAAACGACTGGGTTCAGAGGGCTTTTGGAAAGCTGGACATGTGGAGGCCAACAGGAAGGTGAAGAACTCATCCACGTGCTGTGAGGGTGGCCTACCCCAACTCCATGGGTACAGAAGGTCCTGCATTTAGGACTCATCTAGACCTCACACCTATGTATCTCTTCATCTGATTACTTATATCCTTTCAAAGATCCTTCTTAGTAAACTGGTAAATGTTAAGTTTTTCTCTGAGTTGTGTGAGACACTCTAGCAAATTAAACCCAAAGAGGGGGTCTTGGGGACCCCAACTTGAAGCCACTTAAGGTTCCGGAGACCCAAAGTAACAACTTGGAGGAAGAAAAGCCCTGAGCCCTCAACCTATGGGATGGGACACTCTCTCTAGGTGGACAGTGCTGAAGTTGAATTGAAGGACACCCAGCCAGTGTTCACTGTTGGCAGTGGGGGAGAGTATCCACACATTTGGCCATAGAAGTCTCCTGGGGTGATTGTTGTGTTCTGAAAGTGGAGGAGAAACACAGTGTGAGAGTTGTTTTTTCTGACACAAAATAAAAATATAATTTAAATACATTTGGAAAATAGATATGTCTTTATTAACACCATTCTCAATTCATCAAATTTCAGATGAAAGAAAGGTCTATTTGGTGAATTTAAGGATTTGAGCCCAGGCAATAATAGATTTAAATACAAAAGTGTAGAGGTGTCATTATTATACATTTTCCTCCTAAGTGAGTATGATGAGCTTTATCGGTTGAAAGATCGCTACTGAGAGTCAATGGCACTGAGTTATATTTTAACCTTTAGCATATGACAGAATAAACCATTAGCATAATCTTATTCACATTGTTTCTGTGTTGGCAGAGCCTACCACAGAGTTCCAGCACCTCCCTTTGTCACCCCAAAGCATCACGTTTAGCCATCACTTTACCGCTTCATCTGAGACATTACTCTTTTGTCTGTGCTAACACTGATGGATTTTCAAACTGTCTTTTAAACACTAGACTTTGTATTTGTAAGGCCCCTTTCCACTGCTAGGGCAACTGGAATTGCACTTTGAAGTTGGCATATAATCCTTTATAGTCTTAATATGTGAGGATCCCAACTATGTACTAAGGCATGATGAACTCCCTCCATTCAGACAACGACCCCAATCCTGTGAAGCAGGGAGTGAACATGGACGTGGATGGTCAGATGGACCCATTTCTCCATGATGTGTTCAAAACGATTTCTTATGCCTCCAGTGAATTCATGGGAATCCTTGCTGATTGATGTAATAAAGCTTGTAAATGATATAAAAAAGAAATTTTGGAAAAACAGGCTGAATGGCAAATATAGACACAATACCACTACTAATTATGATGTTAAATTATGTAGAGGTTGTCATACATGCTGAGGGACCACTGGTCTTCATCTACTATTAAAAGTCACCCTAATGGATAGTTTTTTTGGCATGCAAAGTGGTTCAGGATGTTTTTATTGGCTACTTGTCTTATAACTAAGCAGATTTTCCACAAGGCTGGTCTAAGAGTTAGGGTGTGTAGTATGAACAGTGTAGGAAAATGTACTGGATACTATTTTGTACAGTTTGTCTCCATGGTGAATCTGTTATGTCAGAGGCTCTCACTCCGTTTTTTTTTTTTTTTTTTCTTTTTTTCTCTGAGTTTTAAAATCCACAAAATAGGAGAAAAGAACAAAATCTTTTTGTAGTCTACAACTGCTAACAAATTAATCACTGAAATCCCTTTGGAAACCAACATAGATGTGACTTACACCAATGTATGTGGACTCAGGGTCTATTGAGCTCAGGAATGTACCTCTGTTGGAAACTGAATAGATATTACATCTCTGTGAAACCTGCCATGGCATCATGGTGTTTTAACATTAATCACAAAAAAAAAGTTATTTTGATTTTCTGCTGAGGTTTGATTAATTTTACTGACAAAAGAGGCATTACAAAAGAAAGGAGCTCTTCGAAAAACTGAAAATTTAATAGGAAATTTTATTAAATACATCATTTTGATTTGCAATCCTGTTATAAAATTTGAAAAGTTCATATTCTACATTTGAATTGTCCATATGTTTCCTTAATAAGCTGCAATAAAAATAGAATATAAAAGTATGCAGCTTCTCATCAGTTTTATCTTTAATTTAATTAAACTTCTCTGGCTTGGTAAATCATACTAACCCATTAATATTGATCCTAGTGTGTGTGGTTTTTTTCTAGCTATTTGTTGAATTCTATTACTTTTGAAATATGCTTTCTTGTTAGTTATCCAAAACTACTTAAATGTCTCTTTTCATTGTAGTATACTCATATTGTTTTATGACAAGAAAAGAGATTACACTTGTTGATATAAGAGGAAGTTTTGTTTTGGTTAAACAGGGGAGTGTAATTTGAATTGAAGATAAAATATATAGTCATCCTAGATACAGAGTTCTGACTTCTTCTGATTAATAGTTGGGACTGAGATGGCTTTGAAGCAGGGACTGTAATTTCGCAGTACTTTAGTAGACCTTCACCTGCAGTGGGGTGAGATGAAGGAAACGCAGTCCTCTTGCAGTTCAGGAAGCCTGACTCCTATTCCTGGACATAACCCTATCTAGAACAGAAGAAATGTTGTTTGTTTATTTTGGATTCAGTTTTCTCAATGTATTTTCTGAATAAATAATAAATCAGTTCTAATTTTCAGAATTTTTCTATTTGGTTTAACAAATATTTGTGAATGTGTGTGTATGCATGTGTGTATGTATACATACATATACATGTGTATGTATACATACATATATATGTATATGTGTGTATATATATATGTATATATATATGTATACACAAATCTTTGGGTTTAGGGAAATTATTTTCTTGTATACTTATATATAAATTGGTCATACTTTATATTTAGAAACTGCATAAGTTGTTGCAAGTTGCTTGTCACAAAGACTATTCTTGTTTTTTTTAACCTGAGCTGGAAATCTTTTAAAAAAATTTATTAAAATATTAAGGCAACTAATGTTCCCAAAGTAAATTTCCCCTACTCAGATTTTAGTCAAACAGCAACATTCCCATAAAGAGTTAAATTTGTGCTTTAAGAAAGAGAAAAAAAGTTGTGCTGAGGAATCCTGGTTGGCCCAGGAGGTTAGGAAAGGGACCTTAATTCTACCTCTGCAAGTCATCAATTTAGTTCAGTTCAGGTTGGCAGTTTCTCAGAACATCTGTCATCTGATTGCTCTTTAGTGATCAGTAAACAAGAAAATCCAGATGTTTTCTGTGTTCTCTTGCTAGGAAATCCATCCTCCTGGGAGTATTTTTTTTTTCTTTAATGTAATCTCATCCAGAGGAGAAGATTGTTTTGTGATCACCCTGTGTAAGCCATATCTGCCTCGCTCCCTAAGCTGAGGTTTGGATGTCAAGGCTGATAGTGCTATACATGCAATAAGAGAGAATGCAATGATTTATGACAATAATGATGCTTTCGGGGGAGAGCATCATTTTGCAAAGGAAATGGCTTAGTCATGGTCACTCATGCCGACATCCACAATACATACAAAGGTGTGAGTATGATGAATCACGGTGACTTGGCTTGTAGACATACTGATTTTTATAGGAATATTTATATACAAATTTTAAAATTTAAACCTGTAAAATCCAATTTTTCATATTGCTGCAGTGCAGATGTATGTCACTGGGTCATGTTCTAGAAAAGGGCCTGGGAAAGGATAGTCATGTTGGATGACCGTGACAATTAACCAAGTATAGGAGAGGATACTTAATACTGATATTATTTTGCTGTTTATATTTCGGCTACACATACTATACTTCTATTTATCGGAGTAACAGGGTGCTTGTTTGAGGCATCGATGAACACTGTGGGCATTTTTCCATATGAAGCTCATGTTAGAATTTAGGTGAATCACCTGATTAAAGAAAAGAGTGTACCTGGGAAGTTCTGCCTGTAAGTTAGAATGGCAGCAGTAAGTGGAAAATAAACGTCCACGTGGGACACAACTGTACACTGCAGCAATGAGTATGGAGGCTAAAGGTCCAGCTCAGGGCATTATAGCTAAAGAGGTATGCTCTAAATTTGCCTGAGGACTCCGACTTTCTCGTAGACAGGACTGAAAGTACATCACAGAGTTGATAGATCTTCGAGGGGAAGGTGTGCGTGCAAAATGCCAAGCTCGGGTAGGAAAGAGATGTCCTGTGTTCTAGAAACAGCCCTAGACCCTCTCCTGTCATGGTGTTCAGACGGGCAGGCACGAGCTGCTCAGTGGTGTCCAGAGAAGACGGCTTCAAACTTACTGTCATTTATCTATGCTCTGATCAAGGGCATGGGTTATAAAATTGTTGTAAACCAGTCCAGTTGGGAAAGGTATGCCTTCCTCCCCAGTCCCAATGTTCCCCTGCCTACCCTGTGCCCATAACTCCTGTGGAGGTGCTTTCCTCCTTTTCTTCCTTTTCTTAAGCCTTTACGGCACACCACTAGCACATATCTATGTGTGTGCATGTGTGAGTACACACATGCAGGCTGGATTAGTCTCATAATTTAGTTTTAATTATTAAAATTGGTGCATACAATCTTTACATATAATTTTACTTTTACTTCTGTTAATTTAAAATATATTCTAATATTTAATGTTTATTTTAAAATTTGTCTTATGTATGTTTATTAAAATTCATTTTAATTATTAAAATTTGCTTTTAATATTTAAAATCATTATATTGCCCAGCCTTTAAAGTGTTCAGTAATTTTTAAAAGGTTTGTTACAAATCTGGAAGCTCCTCACCACAACATATACCTCATTCCTTCTCCCTAAAGGAAAATATATTCAACTTTTTTTTGTTATTTTGGGGTTTATTTCTACATCATTAATAATTATGTTTATATTGTTGCTTCTTAATTTTTCAGTTTTAGCTGTAATCTATTGACTCCTTATAATTAAAGGTGGGAATTTAGCTTCTCGTATGAATCTTCCAACTGACTTCTTCTTTTTTCCAATTCTCCTTTCTTTAATCTTCCAAATATACTTGCATCATAATTTTGTTTAGATCAATATTTAATATTTACATTATTACTATGTACATGTTCTTCATACATGTTTTCCTAGTTTATTATCACGAGTTTATCTTTCTTACATATGATTCCTCTGTCGCTGTTTCAGCACCAGCCTCTCCTTCCACTGTGTAACTCCTGTCTCAGGATGCTCCATGGCACCCTCCCTCTTGCTGGCTGGTGTGAATTCCTCCCAGGCTTCTGGCTGCTCTGAGCTGCCTGGAGGGATTTCTCTCTAAGTCTGCTGGCTGCTTCCCATTTTCAGACCCCACCTTCACTATCGTCTTGGGAATCCTTTTAACTCTTTTTAATGTTGGATGCCACATTTTCTGAATTTCCTTATGTTTTATTTCTTTTTATCTTGGATTATACCTTGGATTTTGTTGGTCATGTTTTCTAGTAACTTCCTCAGATAGGGTGCACAGGTTGTAAAATGATTGAGAAAAATGTTTGAAATGTCTTTTTTCTTTTTTTTTCCCATTTATTTATTTTATTGCGTTTTAGGTTTTGGGGTACATGTGAAGAACATGCAAGATTCTTGCCTAGGTACATACATGGCAGTGTGATTTGCTGCCTTCCTCCCCATCACCTATATCTGGCATCTCTCCCCTTGTCATCTCTCCCCAGCTCCCCACCCCTCACCGTCCCTCCCCTATTTCCCCCCAACTGAGCCCAGTGTGTAGTGCTCCCCTCCCTGTGTCCATGTGTTCTCATTGTTCAACACCTGCCTATGAGTGAGAACATGCAGTGTTTGATCTTCTGCTCTTCTGTCAGTTTTCTGAGAATGATGGTTTCCAGGTTCATCCATGTCCCTACAAAGGACACAAACTCATCGTTTTTGATGGCTGCATAATATTCCATGGTGTATATGTGCCACATTTTCCCTGTCCAGTCTATCATCGATGGACATTTGGGTTGGTTCCAGGTCTTTGCTATTGTAAACAGTGCTGCAATGAACATTCGTGTGCACGTGTCCTTATAGTAGAACGATTTGTAATCCTTTGGATATATACCCAGTAATGGGATTGCTGGGTCAAATGGAATTTCTATTTCTAGGTCTTTGAGGAATCGCCACACTGTCTTCCACAATGGTTGAACTAATTTACACTCCCACCAACAGTGCAAAAGTGTTCCTATTTCTCCACATCCTCTCCAGCATCTGTTGTCTCCAGATTTTTTAATGATCACCATTCTAACTGGCGTGAGATGGTATCTCAATGTAGTTTTGATTTGCATTTCTCTGATGACCAGTGATGATGAGCATTTTTTCATATGTTTGTTGGCCTCATGAATGTCTTCTTTTGTAAAGTATCTGTTCATATCCTTTGCCCACTTTTGAATGGACTTGTTAGTTTTTTTCTTGTAAGTCTGTTTTTGTTCATTGTAAATTCTGGATATCAGCCCTTTGACAGATGGGTAAACTGCAAAAATTTTTTCCCATTCTGTTGGTTGCCGATTCACTCTAATAACTGTTTCTTTTGCTGTGCAGAAGCTGTGGAGTTTGATTAGGTCCCATTTGTCTATTTTGGCTTTTATTGTCAATGCTTTTGGTGTTTTGGTCATGAAGTCCTTGCCTGCATCTATATCCTGAATGGTTTTACCTAGATTTTCTTCTAAGGTTTTTATGGTGTTAGGTCTTATGTTTAACTCTTTAATCCATCTGGAGTTAATTTTAGTGTAAGGTGTCAGGAAGGGGTCCAGTTTCTGCTTTCTGCACATGGCTAGCCAGTTTTCCCAACACCATTTACTGAACAGGGAATCCTTTCCCCATTGATTGTTTTTGTCCGGCTTGTCAAAGATCAGATGGTTGTAGATATGTTGTGTTGCCTCTGAGACCTCTGTTCTGTTCCATTGGTCTATATCTCTGTTTTGGTACCAGTACCATGCTGTTTTGATTACTGTAGCCTTGTAGTATAGTTTGAAGTCCGGTAGTGTGATGCCTCCTGCTTTGTTCTTTTTGCTTAGAATTGACTTGGCTATGCAGGCTCTCTTTTGGTTCTATATGAAGTTTAAGGTGGTTTTTTCCAGTTCTGTGAAGAAGGTCATTGGTAGCTTGATGGGGATAGCATTGAATCTGTAGATTACTTTGGGCAGT